TCTATCTTAATAAAAAGTATTAGAATATTAGCTATATTTTTCTTATAAACCACAAGAAGGCTATTATTTTTAATAAGAAATTCTTTAAAAATATTAATTACTTTTTTATTTCTAATAAATTTGAGCTAGAAGTAGCTAAGGAAATAAGCAAGTATTTACTAAAGATAATAGGAGAAAAGACTTCAAATATAGTTTATTTAACTAAATAAATAAATGCCTTTAGCTAAATAATCTATAAGTCTAAAATTATAGGCAAGTATTAATTCTCAAATAATATATAAATTAAAGAATAGCTTAATAATAATTTATTACTTAATAGGCCTTTTATTATAATTCTAATAAGTCTAGTTATTATTAAGAATAAAATATACGAAAATAAAGTCTTTTATAAGATTATTAAAGCCTCTTATCTAGAGCTTTCCTCTTTTATTAAAGGCTAATTTAAGAATACTATAAATAATACGAAATTTAAAAAAGCTATTTATTTAAAATATATTAGTATAATTTATAATATAATTTACTATAATAAGCCTCTTTAATATCTAGTAATAAAGGCAGAAATTAAATAATAATTAAAAGCAAATACTAATTATTATAAAGAATTATATTAGATTTAATATAAGAATATAATTAAGCGAATTCGAATTACCTTTAAGTAAGTTCGGGAATATAAAATAAGACTATTTAAGAGTAATAGGTTTTATTTTAGGTATATAGAAAAGAAATTAGATTAGCTAATAGAAAAGAATCCTAATTATTTTATTATTTCAGATTCTAAATAGGATTTTTCTATTATTTTTAGTATTTAGGAAATAAATATAAATAAATAAAGAATCGGATAATATAATAAGCCATATTTTTTAAAAATTATATTATTTTAATAGTTTTGAGATTTAGGTTATATAATAAAGGCCGTAATCTTTTATATATAACTTATAGAAATTATATAAAAAAGCTGGTTTTTTTATAGTCTTAGAAAATAATTCCTTATAAATATTTAATTAATTAAGCTTTTATATATTATATACTATTTATACTTTACTATTTATACTTTTAATTTATTATTTTATTATTAAGTTATATTTTATATTCTAATATACTTTATATAGGTTTTTGTCTTATTATAGTTTTCTTTTTATAATAAATATATACTCGAAAAATAAAAGTAAAGATTCTAGAATAACTTATTATAAAGCTTAAATATAAATAGAAATAGAAATAGTAAATAAATTTTCTAACCTAAAATACTTCTTTTTATTACTTTATTTTAGTATTATAAACTTCCTTTAATCTAGTATATAAAATAATAATTTATTAAGACTTTTATTTATTATTATTATAGAGATTAAGCTTTTTTTTATTTACTTTATACTTGCTATAATATTATTTAGAGAATTATTTAGTTCTAAGTTCCTTATTATTTCATTTCTATAATCTCTTATTATAAATATTAACTAAATAATATAATATTCTTAATTCTAGAAATAAATAGAACCTTTAAGGAGAAATAATACTATATAACCTAAGTAATATTTAATAAGCTCTCTTTTTATCTAAATTTACTAATACTTTTATATAGTTATTAATTTTATAGCTTTATATTTCTATTTCTATTCTACTAGGCAAGTTAATTAATTTCGTAATTAAGGTATCTCAGATTACTATCTAATCTAGTATTATAGTATATCTAGATCTAGAGAAGATTATTAATAAATATTTATATTTAAATATATTAGATAAAGCTTACTAGCTAGTTAAGCTAATATCGAGATTTTTAGTAGGCTCTTAACTAATAATAAATAAGTATTAGTAAAGCTCTAGAGACTTACTTAATTACTTTTTATTCTCGTACTTTTATATAGGACCTAATAACTTTTATAATTTATTTTTCTTTTTTTATAAACTATTATATTAAATTAGCCCTATAAGTATTCTAATTTTAAATCTATTCTCTAATATATAGCCTTAGCCTCTATAAACTTGCTTTATTAATTAAATAAAGTTATAAGATTTATTATACTTATAAGTATATCTAAATACTTTTTACTATATACTATTTCCTTAAGCTATAGTATTTACTAGTATATAGCCTTGGCCTTTATATACTTGCCTTATTAATAAAGCGAATTTATAAGGTTATTTATATTCTCGAATATATCTGGATACTCTTTATTAAATATTATCTTCTAAAGCTATAGTATTTATTAGTATATATTCTTGGCCTCTATAAACTTATCTTACTAGTAAAGTAAATTTATAAGATTTATTATATTTATAAATAAATCTAGATACTTTTTACTAAATATTATTTCCTAAAGCTATAATATTTACTAGTCTATAGCCTCGGCCTCTATATACTTGCTTTACTAGTAAAGTAAAGTTATAAGATTTATTATATTTATAAATATATCTAGATACTTTTTATTAAATATTATTTTTTTAAACTATAATATTTACTAATATATAACCTTAGCCTCTATAGACTTGCCCTATTAGTAAAGCGAATTTATAAGGTTATTTATACTTATAAGTATATCTAAATACTCTTTACTAAATACTATTTCCTAGAACTATAATATTTACTAGTATATAACTTTAGTCTTTATATACTTGCCTTATTAATAAAGCAAATTTGCGAGATTTATTATACTTATAAATATATCTGGGTATTTTTTATTAAGTATTATTTCCTAAAGCTATAGTATTTACTAGTTTATAGCCTTGGCCTTTATATACTTGCCTTACTAATAAAGTAAAGTTATAAGATTTATTATACTTATAAGTATATCTAGATACTCTTTACTAAGTACTATTTCCTTAAGTTATAATATCTACTAGTATATAATCTTAGCCTCTATAAACTTGCTTTATTAGTAAAGTAAAGTTATAAGATTATTTATATTTTCGAATATACTTAAATACTCTTTACTAAATACTATTTCCTTAAGCTATAATATTTATTAATATATAATCTCAGCCTTTATATACTTGCCCTAAATTCGGGAATACTTTCCTAAATTATATAATAATATCTCTAGTAGTTTTTTTATTTCCTTTATTATACTAATCTCCCGATTTAAAATAGTAATAATATATTATATATAAGAAAAGTATATTATTCAAATAGCTCTATTTTTATACTAGAGCTATAGAAAGACATTCGTAATTTGTCTCAAACTAGTTTATTTCTAAGCTCTCTATTTGCCTTTAAGCTTGAGCTAATTTCGTATAGTAATATAAATAAGTTAATATATATTATATAAGGCTTTACTAATATATTCTTTAATAAACCCAAAAGCTTTTAAGATTCTAATTACCTCTGTTTTTTCGAGTTCGGAAGCTAGAGGTAACAGGTCTTATAAAATATCTTACTTTTTAATATAAGAAATAAAGGCTATATATTCTATTACTAAAGGATTCCGGACTTGGATTTACTCGAATGAGATAAGCCACGTTATAATAACTAGACTTTTTATACTAGAATATCTCCTTCTATTCTCGAAGTTCTTACTTAATAATTTAATAATATTATTACTACTTTCTTTATAGATTCTAAGATACTTAGTAATAGTATAACTCTTGGTATTTAGGTAAGCGGCTACCTGTATTATTATAAGAGGAAAATTAATAAGTAATTTTAGTAGCTTTATTATACTATTATTATTATTAATAAGCTACTTGTTTTAAAGACTATATTAGAGAAGCTCTCTAGATTCTTTATTATTTATCTCGTCTATATTAATTAGAATTATACTAGTATATCTTATAATAGCCACTCGATCCCGGGTTATAAAAAGAATTATACCAAGAGAACTAAATAGAAAATACTCAGATAATATACTAGATCGGCTATCTTTATTATTACTAGAATAGAATATTTCGAAATTATCTATATTATTTATAATTATAAGCTATTTCCCCGTATTTTCTTGGGATAGCCTAGTCTTAACTAATCTCTTTATATCTGCTTTATTATCCTCGAGTTCGGGGATCTCAAATCGCTATCTAATCTCGTAAAAGGAAATCTCAAAACTCGTTTTATTACTTGCCCGGACCCAAAATATAAAGTATATTAGAGATTTCAACTAGAGCTAAAATATATATTTCAAGGCAATCTGGGTTTTTCTAATTTTACTAAGGCTTACTAGAGCTATATATTAATAATTATTCTTAGTATTCTCAGTTTATAGAATTGTAATTAGCCGATTTAACTAAGACTAGTAGCTAACGAAATCTTTATTATAGCCAAAAGATAGTATCCTAAGTAGTTTTATAGGAACTAATTTAAATTAGTTATAATTCATAAAGCCATATTATAAAATTAGAGCCTAAATATCTCATATCTTTATAAGAGATTAAAAGATATAGTAATAATAAATTTCCTGCTTAGAATATAATCTTGAAAATATAAGCTATACTAAATAGAGATTAATATTTAGTAAAACTATCTACTTATAAGACGTCTTAATTACTTCTTATTTATTAATGAACCCAAAAAGCACTCTAATAAATACCGCAGCTATAGTAGTAGTATATAATTACTATATCTTATTCTTATACGAATTCGTATAGTTATAAACGCCCCTAATTATAAGATACCGAAAATTGTTTATTAATCTAGCTGCCTCTATCTCGAAACATATTATGCCTTTTTCCTTAGCTATCTTGTCTCGAGTAATATTATACTTTATTACCTTATTCCCAGATATAATATTCCTATAGTAGATTCTAGGAGCAGTGTTTTCGCAAGCTAGTCTTTATATAATTCTGTTAGGGTTACAGTTATTATATATTCCATTACCTTTATAGTTATAAGTAGCTTCAAATAGCTAATTGTAATCTTTCTCTTAATATTAATAGGTCTGGCTCATTTGCGGCTTATTTTAAACTATTAGGGAAAGGGACTTTTCTAGGTTAATACTATTTATAATATTAAACGTCTTTAATTCCTGTAACGTATATAGTAATACCGGTAGTAGTTTATCCAGAGAACCAGTCCGCTAAAATTTTCTATCCTTTTCTATCTTTCTAAAGTCCTATTATATAATACTACTATAAATACCTATAGGTTGACTAATAATAATGTCTCCAAGATAAATATTACCTTTCTTAGTCCAAACCCCCCCTCTAATACCTACTATAAGGCCGAATTTGATTAGAAAGCTATATTATATATTATTTGCAATAATAGTAGCAGGACCATTTCCTATCAAGCCGGCTGGAAGGCAAGCAATAACGATATTATATACCCCAATTCTGCCTAGTATATATTCGTTATCATCGCCGTTTTCCTTCTTTGATTTAGGATGAGTTTTATCTAGTATAGCTACCATAGCAGCCTTTTCAGTTGCTAAGGCGCAAATGACTCCGATTTGGTAGTCTTTATGTGTTCGAGTAGGATGAGCCTCCGAGACTAGCGTTCGTACAAGGCTTTGCTCTTGGCGTTGCGGCGTCTCTTTGGCAGCTTCATCCTGCATCCACTGTCTTTAGTCTCGATTCCCTAGCAGAGTTAGAGTTACGTTATACGTACCGGAGGATTCATCGCAAGGTTTGATAGTGGAAGCAATGTCGAGCTGAAATTCGCGCTAGGCAAGCACAAGGCTGTAGCCAATGCAACAGCTGGAAGTGGCTATAAGAGGGGTCAACCGAATATACGTCTATCAAGACTTCAAGATCAGATATCTCAAGGTATTGGATCGATCTCATCGAGTAAATATAGTTCTGTATTTGTGTTGGGATATCATCATGACGAGCCATTGGAAACGATGGTCTTCAGCTCTTCCTCTGGGCGCTAAACGCACAGACCAGCTGCGGACAGGGCCCATTTAGCCTTGGAGGAAAGGTTCATCGGAACGTGACACTTGCGTCACGCTTTACTGAATATGGTAAAGCGGTATGCAAAGGATTAATACGCAAAGTGCGACCTGTTAACGGGAGAGTGTTTTGGGCGAAGCCGGTTTCGAAGTTTACTGTAAAAGCGCGTCCTTCAAATCGGTGCCTCGCAGCTCTCTGCTTTGTGTGCAGTCAGCTTGCCGACCTCATGGTCATCCCGAGCGGCTGTGGTTGCTGTACCTCCTACATGATGTTCGGCACCGCTTTCGAATGTCTAACTGACTTAGACATTTGGGTATTTGCTTACTAATAGTATCATACCATTGGTGAGATAAGCGAGAGTTAGGGTAGTTGAATTCGAGTGTGTTGTTTTTTTTTCGAGAAGCCAATTTTGTTAGCAACTGTAATGCATTAAGTATGACTCTTTTCTGTTTTCTACATATAGTTAGGTTAGTACTGCCAAAACTATTCCCCGAGTTCAGATAACCATTATAATCCTTCAAGACAGAATGGGATATGCGAGGATATCTGAGTATAACCAACCAGGCTTACAAGCTCCTCCTTTCGTAGTGAATTCTTCAAGAAAGCGTACTGGAATAATCAGAATATATAGGAATTGAGAATTCAAGTAACTAACCGACAGAAGTTCTTCGGCCGAGCTCGAAGCGGTTAACTATAGAAACTTATCTGCTTGAGGAGACTACTTATCGGGATACTCTAAGGCTAGTCTTTCCCGGCGGCGGCTGCCCCGCTTCATAAGTTAGAGTATTATAAAGCCTAATACTTCGGTATCTTTATATAGCCTGTAACTTTATAGACTAATATTAATATAGCCTTTAGAATTAGTTTAAATAACAGATTAGTAGAGCAAGTATCCTTAGGCCAAGAACTTACTAATTTAATATCTCTATATATTATATCTCGAGAGGCAAGGAAATCAAGTTCTATTAGTATCTATTATTTTAATATTAAAGCCCAAAGAGTTTTAATAGTAATAGCTTACTTTATATATAATTATTACTATCTAAATCTCGTTTAGTAATATTATAGATCTATTAAAATCCGTTAGAGAGATTATTATATATTCGGAAATAGTAAAGACTATATTATTATATATAAATATTTTAATATAAATAAGGAAATTTTTATATCTAATTTTTTAGAGAATTTATACTTAATTATTAATCTCTATTTAAGCTATATACTTTATAATAAAAAGCTTAAATATAGCCGGAACTTTACTTATAATAATTACTAATTCCTTTAGCTTATAATAGTATACTTTAATATAGTAATACTATAATAATATTCTTTTTAGTAATAAAAGATCTAATAGTAACTTTTCTGAACTATAGATTTCTTATAGTATAAAAAGAGAATTAATTAAACTAAGCTTTAGTAAAAGTTAATATAAATATATATTATTAATAAATTTACTAGTATTATTACTAGTTATATTAAAGTCGGATTACTTTTTATAATATATTCTTTTCTATAATTAGAAATACTAATAATTATTATATTAGTTTCTTTTTAGTAATATAATAGTATAAGATTTTAGGTTTCTTTATTTCTTAAATAAAATAAGGCCTGAAAACTATATTAAAGTCGAGTTTAATCTCTTTAGTTAATAAGCTATATATATAATAATATAAAGTTAGTTATAAGAGTTCTAAAAGTAGCTTATTAATTTAAGACTTTTATAAACTAAAGCCGGCTTAATAAATTTAAAATCCTTTTTATAAGATTACTTTAGAGAATATAATATAGTATTATAACTTCTTATAATCTAGTTTAGATATAAGGCAGTTCTTATAATATATAGAAAGGCAATTAGGTAAAATTAGAGTTATTACTATTATTAGATTATTAATACCAAAACTAGAACTATATAAGAAAATAGGATAGCAAGTACTATAATTAATAATATTACTAGCTAGAAAGTTATAAATACTATAAGATATTTTTCTAATAATAAGCTAGAGAATATTAGTATTTAAAATAAGGCTTAGAAGCTAAAATTATATAATTATCTCTAAAATACTTTAAGGTAATAGAAGTAAATATATTTAATTAGTTCTAATTCTGCCTTTATTTAAAATAGACTTCCTTAATTCTTTTATAGTAAATTCTATAAACTAAGTCTATTTTAATTTTATTTTAATTTTAATTTTTATTACTTCTTTCTTTCTTTTTCTTTCTCTCTCTCTCTTATATCTGAAATAAAATAATAAATATATAATATAATATTTAGTATTATATTATAAAGTAAAAAAGAAAGCTTATTAAAATTAAGAAGAGAATTTTCGAGAAATAGCTTATATAAGTTTAAGAAAGCTTATTTTTAAACTCGAGTATTCGAGAAATATAAATAGGAAAAATATTAAAAGACTAAAGAGAATCTTTATAAAATAAGGCTATTTATAACTATTATTACCTAATTATATATTAGTAATTATTATTAAATAAGATTTAAATATTATATTCTAATATTTAGAGAAAATATTTAAAGATATTCTTTATAATATATAAGATATTTTACTAAAACTAATATTGCCTCTAAAATATATATTTAAATATCTCTATAACTAATATTAGATTCTAGCTATTCTGGAAATCTTAGTATTAAAAAATAAATAATAAATAATAAATTTATATTTATTAGATTTAATTATAAAACCCTTAATAGCTTCTAGAAAATAGCTAATATTATTTCTATCTAGTAATAAATCTAGAGGCCTAAGTTGCCTTAAGTAAAAACTATTCTAATTTATTAAATTTTATTAATAATAAATTTTATAAAAAGATCCGGAATTACTAATAGTAAAACAAGTTCTTTATTAAGAAATAATAGCAGATATATTTATTTAAGAGTAAGCAGAAAAATCCGAGCTAGCTTCTAAAATAATAAAAGTATAAAAATACTTTTAATATCTTACTAGTTATTTATAGTTTCTAATCCGGGCCTGGATTTTTCTTTAGTAATATATAAGAACTTCTTATTATATAATTTAATAAGATTTATTAGATAACTCTTATTATAATTATATAAACTAACTTCTTATATAAGAAATTCTATATTATCTTAATTATATTTTCTAAATATAATCTTTTATTTTAAGTAAAAATATAGATCTTATATTTAAAACTAATTAATTTATTATAAAAGCTTTATAGCTAAGAGTTTTATAAGTATTAGAAAACGATTTTAGTTTCCTGAAATTATTTTTTAATTTAAGTAAGCTCTTTTCTAAAATAAGAAAAGAAAAAAAGCAGTAATTTATTTAGAATAATATTATTATTATAGCTTGTCTTATTTTATTATTATATATACTTTTTAAAGATCTAAAGTTATTTAGTCTATATATAAAAATTATTAAGGCTTTAATTAAGCTACTATTAAAGAAATTATTATATAATATAATAAAGTAATAATTTTCTAGTATAAATTAAATAACTAGTAAAATTATTATATAAGAAACTAAAACTATATTTAGTATATATATAGGAAATATAATAGATTAGTTTGAATTTAGCTATTAATAGTTCTATTTCTTTATATTACAATATTTTACTCATATAATTAAAAAGTATATAAAGAAGAAAAAAGATTAACTAAAACTAATAATTAAAGAATCTAATTTCGTTATTTAGTACTAGTTTACTTTCTTAGCTAATTAGCTAGGCTTTAATTCGGAAATTATCCGGAAGCTAAAGACTAATAATTTATTTAGGGCTAAGGCTTATAACTTTATTCTAAAGTATAATTTTCTCGAGCTATATAATATTAATTTAGAGCTTTTTAAGAAATATATAAAGTATTTAGTAAGAGTATATATAAAAGCTATTAAGAAATAATAATAGTATATTAAGCCTCTAATAATAATAAATAGGCCTAGTAAGTTTCTTTTATAATAATATAGTTAGTTCTTCTAAATAATATATAAGTATAAATAGAATTATCTTTTTTTAAATATTTTTAATAATAATACTAATATAAGAGAAAAGAATATTATATTAATCTTTATTTAGAAATTAATATATTTTATATTCTTTAATAAATAGCTACTAAATATAATAAATAAAGTATTATAAAAGTAATTATTATAAAAACCAGAAAGTATTATAATTAGAAAAAATAATAAATTATCTTTTTATAATACTATTTCTGGGCTAGCTCTAATCTAAGGCCTAATAAACAAGTATTTAGTATAGCGAGAAATACTAAAAAACTACTTAATACTTCTATTTTTATTAAGCTAGAAATAAATAATATTAGTATTTATTTTATAAATAAGTAAGATTATATATATTCTCTTTCTATAATTATATATATTAGAAAACTAAAACTAATATAGAAAATTATTATATATATTAATAAAGATAATATAAATATCTCTTAATACTAAATAACTTTCTAGATATATTAAAGAAAAGGTTTTTAAGACTAGTAATACTTTATATTATATAATAATTCTTTTAAGATAAAGTAAATAATAACTAAATATATTCGAAAAAAATATATATTTAATAATAATAAAAGGCTATAGCCTTATTTTAGAAAGATATTATAATATGGTAATTAGTAATAATATATATATTATAGTAATTATACTAAGAGAAGAAAGCGAGATTAATAAATTACTAATTACTTTTAAAGTAAGTATTATAAGAAATAAGCCCTAGTATTTAATACTCGAACTAAAAAGAAAAATAATTATAGAAAAATAAATATATAAAACTTATATAAGTCTTGATTTTTATACTAGATTTAATTCTTATATTATTATAATTCTCGTTCTAGACTTAGTTCTTATACTAGACTTAATTCTCGTATAATATATAATAATTATACTAGTATATAAGCTTATAATAGTTTAAAATCTCATATAATAATATTTGCTTCTACTAACCTATATACTTTTACTAGCCTTAATTCTTATACTAGCCTTAATTCTTATATTAACCCAGATTCTTATACTAGTATATAAACTTGTACTAGTATATATAATTATTAAGAAATTTTTATTAATTTAGTAAATTAAAAGCCAGATAAATATTATAATATTATTATAAATAACTAATATATTTCTTTTTCTTATATATCTAAGTCTTATTTTATTTTACTAGAACTTTTTTTTAATAACTTTAGTCGAGTAAAAAAGAAAATAAATAATTGGTTTACTAAATAGCTAAAGTACTTTTTAGAACCTTATTTAATAGTTATCTCGGTTATTCTATTTATAAATAATCTCGCTATTATTATATTATCTTAAAAAGAAAGATAAATAAGATAAAAATAAAGTATTATTATTTGAGGTTTATTATATTAATAGATATATAATTAATTTAATTATATTATTTTAATTACTTAGTTAATAACTATATTAAGAAGAAAAACTAATATATTTACTATATATAATAAATATATTAGTTCTTATTAAAAGTATAAAGCCTAATATATTACTAATATATATAGAAATTAGCTAGTATATTTTAATATTATTATTATTATTAGAAGTTCTTACCTAACTAAAGTATTATTAGAGGCTATCTTATTATTTTATATATTTTTAATACTAATACTAATTATATTATTACTTATTATTTAATAGATATCTATAGAAGTATAGAAGTAAAATATATAATATATAAGTAAGTAACTAATAAAGTTCGGGAATATATTAAGTTTAAATAAAAATATAGAATATTCTTAATTTTATTATTTAAAAGAAATATAGGCAAATATATATAATATTATATAGTTCCCGAGTTCTAATTATTTTATACTACTTATTAGTATTATAATAAATAAAATAATAACTTCTTTAAATAAATATTTTTATCTAATATTTGCCTTATAGCCTCTCGGGCTTATTCTTCTATATAACTATTTATATAAACTTTATATTAAGTTATTAGTTAGGGGTTCGGTATCTTTTTATAAATAGATTTATATAAGATTATATTTTAACTCTTTCTTTCTTTAATTTTAGATCTAATTAGATTCTTAATATTAAGATCTTAGTAATTTACTATAATATAATTATATTTATTAACTTAATTAATCTTATTATATTTTATACTATTAGTAATATAATTTCCGATAATAAAGAAATATATATTAAGGATCTAGATAGAATAGTTTAGGAAATATTCTAATAGTTATCTTAATTAAACTTATATATTTAGAGTCTTATTTAAATAGATTTATTATTTATTATCTGACCTATTACAAGTATTTTTCAGGATAGTTATTAGTAAAGCTTCTTCTAGTATTAATTATAGCCTATTTTCAGAGTTTATTTACTAGAATAAAATAATTCTTCTTATTTTTATATTATAATTATAAAAGTTCTCAAGAAGCTGCTTTATATAAAGTAGCTAGCTAGCTATACTAATACTCGTTATAAATAATAAGACTATTCTATATTTATTAAAATAGATCTTCTTATTATAAGGCCCTTTAATAATAGCTCTTAATTTAGTAAATTAGAATAAGTTATTATTAATAGAAAGACTTTATATAAATTCTTTCTATTACTAAATAATAAAAACAATAATATTCTAATCTTTATTATATAAATACTATTATATAAATATATATAAATATAACTAGAGAAAAGTACTATAGCTTGCTTTTAGAATATAAAAGTATATATATTAATTTAGTTAATACTTCTAGGGCCTCGAAATCTTAGTATAGATCTAATAAATATCCGGTAGGAATTTAATAGAAACTATATATAAGGATTTCTAATTATAGAAATTCCGGTAAAGAATTTAATATATCCGGTAAAGAATTTAATATATCCGGTAAAGAATTTAATATATCCGGAAAAGATATAAAGTTATCTAGAAATAGTATATAATAAGGAAATATATTATTAGTATACTAAATAGCTTTCCCGAAATATGAGTTCAAGTAATAGTTATAACTATTATTACTAGAACCTAATAAATATTTAAAAAAATCTTATAAAAGTAATATTATATAATTAATAAAAAAAGTAATTAGAATAGCAGCTATTATAGAAGTAGTCTAGTTCATTTTATTAGTAGTTCTCGCTTTACGGGAAAGATACTTACTACTAATACTACTATTTGCATTAATAAGTATAGGTTAGGCTTCTATAATATAGTAATAAGAACTATATAAATTACTTTTTTAATTACGGCCACTTTCCCTAACTAATAATAGAGTTTATATAACTTCCAAAAGTAAGAGGAACGAGATTTATAATAGTTAACCGTTCTATTTACTATATAATCTTTATATAATTACTTATAAGGCAAAGAATATTGCCCCCCAGGAAAGCAAGAATTAAAAGTATATAATATCGAGTAGTATCTTCTAAATACTTGTAGACTTGCAGGTAAAAAACATACTTAAGAAAATGGTATATTATATAAGTATATAGAAACCTAATTGAAATCCTTACTATATAGAAAACAATAGAAAGGGCTATAATAGCTGCAAGTGCTATAGTATACTACTGAATAGTATCTATTTCCGAGAGGTCTTAATAAGATTAATATAGTATAAAGACCAAATATACCGAGCAGTAGAAATGATACAGGTCCCGATAGATCGGTTTATGGGAACGCATTCAAGCTAGAAGCCAAAAGCTGCCATAATATTCAGTATACTTGCGTATATTAATTAGGTAGTTGTATTCTAGTAATGCGCCTCCAGAAGTGACGCCTTTAGAAGTGATGCCTTTAGAAGTAATGCCTCCAGAAATGGCTCCTCCAGAAATCGCCCCTCTAGGAAATGGCTGTAATTTGCCGTTTCGTTTCCGTCCAGGTTCTAATTATGTACGTATGAAATATAATCACTTAAAATTATTCAACTTTATATATATGGCCTATTCTGATAATCAAGTTCTCAAACTGCGAGGATTTGATCCCCAGGGCAAATATGTCTAAGCAATTGCAAAATAGAAAGACCAGAAAGAATACTCAGGAAAACTTCCGACGAAGGAAAATCAATCTCATTAGCAAAGCAGACGATCTCTACCGCTTCTTTGGGGCGGATATCTTCTTGGTTATCCGAAAGAGAGGCAAATACTGTGGGTATAACTCGAGAGAAGAGCTGGACTGGCCGCCAGTAAAGGAGGAGCTCGTAAGTCTCTCCTACCGCCATCTCAAGATTGCGACCAACAAACTCTTAGGAACATGAGATTAGGAAGCCAGCAGACTTTAATATTACCAAAGAAGATGACAAGGCAATGTGAAGGAATAATGGCTTTGGAGATCATATACTTAGTATAGGCCGCTAGAGCACTGACTCAGACGTTATATGCCTTACTCTGAGAGATTTCCTAAGGGGTTATGAAATATGTTCGCGATAGCTCTAAATTAATAAGCATGGCGATATCAGTACATCCATCTCATATTGCTTAGCCCTGCCATCTACCCGAAATCTAGAGAGCCTTGCACCAGGCTATGGTGAATAACTAAAGAAGATGAAGCGTAAAAGGGAGCAATTGTGAAAACTACTTAACTTACTTGTTCTTCATACTCAATTTGAAATATTTCCAACCCTAAGTCAGCTAATACGCTTCATCAGCATCTGAACAAGATTTTGGGCAAGTTGACCACCCTCCCCAATCAATGATAGGAATTCGGGACAGTGAATGAGACTTTCCACCTCGCACGCTGTATATAGCATCACCAATAACCTCAAATCGTCCATGGTATCGACAAGATCCGGTGTGTGGTCAGTAGAGAAGGTGTATCGTAGAAGCGCTACAATGTCGGGTCGCCGGACTGCATATAGAGTGAACGATGTTAATGTTTTGTGAAGCTTGAACAGAGCGAGGGTTTTCAAGGACTTGATGTCCCATCTGGGGAAGACATATGTGGTCTCCTCCGCCATTGGTCCTGGCTCTATCGATCCGATTGAGTCTGATGATCATTCAAGCAAAGAGAACCAGGTAGAGTCTCGATGAGAAGACGTCACGTGGTTATGATTCCCTTTTTATTGAAGAATCGCGCAACGAGGGTAGAGAAACTGGTTCGAAGGCAAAGTTGCTCATTTGTACTCGTAAATTCGCTTCCTGAAGACTCTTCGACAATATCTTCGATGCAGCTTCGTCGAGACTAGGCACACGGTTTGAAACAACAGAAGAGGCCGTCCTCTCATGAGTGTTCCGGCGACTCCGACCCCGTGCTTCTTCCTCTTCCGGTACAATGTCGAAGTCAGTGGAGTCGGGATTTTCGAATTTAGATTGATCCCAGTTCTGAGAGTTGTTTGCGCCGACCAATTTTGCTCTTGCCAACAGTTCTAGCATGCCTTGCATTTCTTGATCTCCGCTGCCTCGCAGCTGTGCACTGGCAATTCCAGCATCGTTTGTTCTCCATCCTAACTTCAGTTTCATATATTCCACAGATCTCTTCAAGACCTCTTGCCGATTTTGAATGAACTCGTCAGCGACGAGGTTTCCTGTACTTCGGGTTTTGGGAATGAGAAGTTCGCTCAGCAATTCCGACGGCGGCCTCTTCCGCCGTTATTGATAGAGGAGCCGTATACGCCTGAAGTCGCTCACCCTATCCTCGACTTCTTTTGCAAGTATACGTTCAGTAGGTTGCGGAGGAACTTCTGCGATAACAGAGCTATCTTCGATAGCCTCCTCGACGCGACGGAACAATATCCACATTCGTCACTACTGCAGTCAGTCCATTTCTTTTTCACTGACCAATAATTCAATATAATATATAGAACTTACCACTGAATAATTACGGTATCCGTAGCTTGAGTTTCTGCTTCGCATTCCGGGCAGGTGATTACTGCCTGCTTTTGCTTGAAGACCATAATTATATTGACCTTCTATCTAGCCCGGAAGTATATAGACTATTCCCTATTTCTAGTAAGCTCTCTTCCATTTCTGCTCTCTTCTATAGTATATTCCTTGCGAACGACTTTGTTCTTGCCAGATAGATACTCGAAACGCTTAACGAGTATTATTTTAAATATCTAATATATAGGGCCATTTTAGTACTTTATTATATAAGGGAATAAGTCTGATTCATACTTATATTCCATAAGTTAACTAATTCTAAAGGTATTAGTATTATATTTCCTAGTGTATTTTCCAGGGTAATAGGCGCTTGTTGCTAATATATTCCAAGACCTCTGGAAGAAGACTATACTATAGATATCTGCCTCTGGAAATATAGCAGGAGCCCTCGGATATCTATAATAGTAGCTCGGATCTGTATTCTAGGGTTATTAATTAACGGCTTTATTAGATATTTCCAGAAGGTTGGGGCACTTATAGTACTCTAGCTATATCTTTTATATGGCTTAATATAATGTTTGTTATCTTATTTTGTGCCTCGATTTTTTTATCTAGTACTTTAAGCCGAGTGATTTTATTCGTCTAAGCGAATCCTATAATAATGAATTGACTACCTGAACTCGGATAGCCTATAAAGTACTATCTAACTTGTTTAATTTGCTAAACTCTAGTTAGTTTCTATACCCTCTCTCAAATTAATAGCCATATACCTTATTGCCGTAATTACTAATATCGTGATTGTCTCGCTACTAGTATATAGCTTCCTCTATAGCTCTGCTATATCCTCTTTTTGTTTTACCTATATAAACTTCTTTATTATATTCTTTCTCTAATTCCCAGATCTATCTATATATAAATTCGTTCCATATTTCTTATTAACTTTGAGTTGGAATTCAAGTAAGATATTATACTAATCTTTAGCTATATCTCGTATTATTATTCCTAGCTCCTCTAATTCGGGGTATAATGTGTAATTCTGCCAAAGCGCGACTACCTGCATATAGACTAATCAGTATCTGCAGTTGATTTTAGGTAAAAATTGATTGTTTACTTGAAGAAGAGCTTTATTAAAGGTATATAGCTCCTTCGCCAGAGCCTAATACTCCTTTGCAGATCCGCGACTCTCACTTAACGATTTCCCAAGTCTCCATGCGATCTCCCCGACCGCGATGAGATCTCTTATCGAGCCAAACGTAATACCAAACGATATTACGTATTGTTTATAGATCGAGGGGGTATGTTTCGCTAAGGTTTGTCGAGGTTAACTCAGGCCTGACAAGTCGACGTTGAAGACGAACCTGAGCACCCACTCCGGCAGACGGCAGCGCACTTGACGCAAGGCTTTGCAAGGCTGCGCGTCATGAGTCATCGGCTGGCGAAACAAATACTCTTTAAAAGCCCTACACGTACATTTAGGACTGTGACATCGAGGAGAATATAATCTCTATTGCATACGCGTATAAGTCGATCAATTTCTTGAAAAGTACTACTCCGAAGATTTAGTGGGGGTTACAAGTCCCACGCGGATTGCTAACGTCCCGTGCAATCCTGTTATCTACTTCGTCTTATTGAACCGATACTCGACACGCAAGTGACGTCGATTTATCTTTGAAAAACATTGTGGATTCTTCGATTTCCTAATGACCCAAGGCATAAACTTCTCTGAGCTATCAGCGTTACTTGTAAGCACAATTGTGATTCGATCCTTGCTCTTCTCCGTCCCTGAATATGTACGTGTCGCGAGGGTGTGATCAGGTGTTCTCTTCTAATTCATACTAGTCTCGTCCATATTTAGAATATTACGCGGTTCGTACTCTTTGCAGAGCTGTTGGAGCCGTTCCATTTGTACGAGATTATCAGGGTCATCGATCACTGTCAAGGGCAGTCCTCTGAAAGGGAGACTATGCCGAAATTACTCTATTGCTAGAAAAATTCTAAGCTAAAGAGAAAGAGGAAAAGAAGGAGTGGTCTCGTCCAGCTATATAGGCTCTGAAGTTCTTTCCTGACATCACTCCCTTGCGACAGGAATCTTCCCTAAGGCCCTCGTATTAGCTGGCATACAAACCGTGCAGCACTGACGTCATGCACTCTCCACCCGACATCGCACCATCATAGGCTATATATCACACCACTTTGAAATAAGTCCCGTGTGTTTAGGTAGCTAGTATAGCAACCAAACAAAAGTAGTTACTTCATTGCTGGTAGTTCCGAAATATTAGGATCTAGAGAGTGACGATTCTGCATTAAAAAGGGGCTAAGTCAGTACACGATAAATAGAAAGAGTGTACTTTGGAATCCTTATACACTTACCCAGGATGCTGATATTGGCCCTCTAGAATCACTCCCTTCCAACTCAGCGTTAGGTTGCGGATACACGGATGGATGTGGGACAAAAAGCCGTTTTCCATCCCCCGATAACTCTGGCTTGCCACTAGGTTCGTTGTTGACGGGCTGCGTGGATCTTGCGTGACGCCGACGAAAGAAAAAAAGGAAGAGCGGGAAACCGATAAGGAGTGCAGCGCCAATGAGCGAACCAACGACAATCCCAGAAATTGCCCCGCTAGAGAGTCGAGATGGCGACGGCACAGGTAAGGTGGATTTGGAGGTGCTAGTCGGCCCCGTCACCGCGATCCCAGTGCTGGTGCTTTGGATTAAGCTTGTAATGAAGTCAGAGCTCTGCCACCGAATCTGTATTGGCCAGGCAATTTGCCATAGTGTCGTTATTCCTGTTTCTGTGAAGGTGTATTGTGACAATGAGCTCTGGTCGTAAATATTGTCTGCCACCGTGACTACCTGAGAGCCAGTTGAGAAGCCGCTATTACAGCCATCATATACGATCCCACCTCCTCCAGTTTGACTTTCCCACGCTGGGCAAACATAGCCTAAGAATGTTAGAATAGAAGGAAAAGGATAGAAGGGGTATGACTCACTGCTTGGACAGCAAAAGGCAATGGTCTCTCCGCTGGCCGAGGAAAGCTGATACGGCGACGGAGGAGGAGAGCAGGTGTGGTAGTTTGAAGGACAGTACAGACCAGGAGAATAATAGCTCGTCATCCATGCAAATCCTTGCGAGTAGTATTTCCCAGAGGGACAACAGGAACTTATTGCGCAGCCTGGAGTGCGACGGGGATCTGAGCCAAAGTCGCGTTCTGATATGTTTCGGGTGCACGTACCGGCTGTGGTGTACCTCCAGGGGAAGCCAAGTCCCCAAGTTTGGAAGTCATAGTGATCAGTATAACAGTCTGGAGGGAAGGACAACGATGTTGTAATTGGTCCAATATTGGTGAAGGTCGTAAAAGTCGGCGAACTATAAGTTATCGATGCCATTTTTGCTTTCAGGAGGGAGCGACAATGAGGTTTACAGGAAGGGTCCCGGATTATAAAGGCTCAGTGCCTTCTACCACAGGGCGTATTCAAGGGGCTGGCCTACAGGGAATGTCCACACTTAAAGCGAAGAGATTCGAAAATCAAACTATATAATTGGTTAGAATCTCGATCTGCAGTGCGCGCAACAAACTCTAACACTCGCTTGCCGACCCTGACCCTGTTAAGGCACTCCCTGCCAATCCGTCTCGGGATGTCTCCTGGCCGACTTACTCTGGGGATATGCGTCGAATTTTACTCCTTCCGTCGCACAGAGGGTAGCCTAAAGTTTAAGTGGCTTCTGTGTCGAAAAGTGTGCAGATTGACGTGATCCTCTCACCTTCTTGCTGTCTGGCCCTTGCTCCTTTTAATTGCGTGGCTGTTGTAAGAAGGTTAAGATTGGTCAAGAATTCAGCAGTCAGTTCGGCATTCGATCGAAGAGGTTAGGAAAAGGAGGATGGAAAGGGTGGCGGACTGGGATAACAAGTGTCGCATTAGATTCGCCTCGAAGCCGAAGATGAAGGTGTCCCCAGTACCGCAATTCGCGAAATTTCTCTCCTTAAAGAAATGAACTACCCAAACATTGTCCGTCTCCTCAACATCGTACACGCTGATGGCCACAAACTCTACCTCGTCGTCGAATTTCTGGATCTAGATTTGAAGCGATACATGGAGGCGCTCCCAGTGTCTGATGGTGGACGAGGCAAATCTCTTCCTGAAGGATCTGGACCTGACTTGGGAAGACTCGGCTTGGGAGACGCGATGGTAAAGAAGTTCATGAGTCAATTGTGCGAGGGTGTTCGATACTGTCACAGCCATCGCGTCCTACATCGAGATCTCAAGCCGCAGAATCTATTGATCGATCGCGAAGGAAACCTTAAGCTTGCGGATTTCGGTCTTGTGCGCGCTTTCGGTGTTCCTCTTCGCACCTACACCCATGAAGTTGTCACCCTCTGGTACAGATCACCAGAGATTCTACTTGGAGGCCGCCAATACTCGACTGGTGTTGATATGTGGTCTTTTGGATGTATCTTTGCTGAGATGTGCACTCGGAAACCCCTATTCCCTGGCGATTCTGAGATCAATGAAATCTTCAAGATCTTCCAGTAAGTTTACATCCGAGTAATTGTCGCTCCTTCGCTGGTCCTCTAGGGGCCACTGCCATGAAGGCCGAGCTATCTTCCTTTGCCATAATACATGCTTACGTAACCAGACTGTTAGGCATCCCCACCGAAGCCGACTGGCCCGGCGTCATGGACAAGACCTGCTTCCCCGACTTCAAATCCTCCTTCCCCAAATGGCAACGCGACCAATTCAAACCCCTCTGCACCAACCTCGGCGATCACGGCCTCGACCTTCTTGAAATGATGCTGGTCTACGATCCTGCCGGCCGCATCTCTGCCAAGCAAGCCTGCATCCATCCCTACATCCATCCCTACTTCGAAGATGGTAACTTAATCTATTAGTGTTCTCACAACGTGTGTGGCATGGCTCTATAGCCACCAGGGGCAAAATCGTGGGGCCTGCTCGGCTATCATGCCCTTAGAATGTCCAGGACTGGGGAAACCTGCAACCCATGTGATCTATTAATAACGGTATCAAAGACTCAATCCATGCTGATGTTTCGTATGGGTTACGAAGTGTAGAGCACTCCCTATGAAGGCCGAGTACCCTTGGTATGGACAGTCAAAGCCTTCGCCGGCAGCCCGAGGACAGAGATGCTGAGCCCGGATATGGCGGCCAAGACTATTAATACGGGAGAACTTATGGTCCCGTTTCCGGCGGCCTGCCTTCTTATTAACCTATTTGTAAAAGGCATAGTATAGTATAGGTACTACGGGCCGCTCTTTAACTTCTATAGGAGCTATAGAGTCCGTATCTGAATCTTCGTCTGCTAGTATCTTGGTTTTCTAGTTAATATCAAATTCTATATCAGTTTCCCCTTAGGAGATATCCTCTTTCTCCTCCTCTTTATTCGTATCTATACTCGTATATATATAATAAACCTTTAGATGCCCTCTCTTTTTTAGTACCTTATATTAATAAGGGGTTTCTTGCTTCTTATAAAGTTATATAAGGTTATTAACGAGCTCGACCCGTATTTCAAAAATTTGATCCTTAATTAAGCTATTAAATAGCTTAAAGAATAGTTTGGTTACTTTGCCTTACTTCTCGAGCTTATACTTAAAAATTAGTAAAGTAATTATATTAGCTAGATAGATATCCTATAATTATTAATTGACTTTAGTAATATAAATAGTTTTATAGAACTCTATAATAGTTTTCTCGAGTAAATTATTCTTTAATTAGTATTTTAAGGTATTAATATTAGCTTATATACTTTTATATTTCTCGAACTACTTTATTTCCTTAACTAATTTAATAGTAAGAAAACTATAATATTTGAAATTTCATATATATTAAGTATATTTTTTAATAAGCTTAAGAAACTTGAGGTATTAACTAATTTCAAATTTCTATATATCTATTAGATATTTCGGGGCTCTTTTATAGCAGATTAGCCTACTAATTACTCGAATAAAATTATTTTATTATATAAAGCCAAGGTATATTACCTAATAGTTCTAATTAATAAATAATAATACATAATATTATTTATAAATATCTTTCTAATAGCTTATAATTTACTAGTACTCTTCGGGAATTAATACTTTTATAATAAGATATATTAGCTAAGCTTAGTAATAACTTATAAAAATCTATAAAGAAGTAAAATAAGAAATACTAAAAATCTATTCTTTAATTTTTTTCTTAAAACTTACTATAAATTATAGAATTCGAGCTTTTTTTTAAACTTATTTATTTGGCTAATATAAATAAAATAATACTAGTATTTTAAGTAATCTAGAGCTTTAGTTTTAGATATATAAATTCTATTAGTAATATATTTAATATCCCGAAAAATAGGCTTTTATATCTAGTTCTTATTTTATTAGAGACAAATATAATTAGTATTAGATAAAACCTCTAGACTATAAATATTATTTAGAGAATTGAATTTGTTTTTAAATATATTATTAGTAAGTATTAAAGCTAATATAAAAGTAATTCTATAATATATGAGATTTTTTATTTCATAAAATATAAATACTTTTCTAATTTAAATTAGCTAGCTAAAGAAATAAAAATTAAATATAGAAAGTAATTCTATTTATTTCTTTTTCTTTTTACTAGATCTTTTAATATATTTTAGATTAAGCTTTATAATAATAATAAATAGCTATTCTTTAATTCGAGGCAAAAATAACTAAAACTTAATATTTTTATACCGGAGTCTAATAAGAGCTTTAGGTTAAATAGTAATATAGCTAATAAGAATTAAAAAAAGTAATAACTAGATTTTTAGCTATTTATAAATAAATACCTCTATATTATATATCTAGTAAATATTCTAAAATTAGTATAAATCCTTAATAAAAAGCCCTAACTTTTCTTTTTTCGAGTTATTAAGGTCAAATACTAGTATTAGAACTTATAGAATCTATTATTATAAAATAAGTATAAGAATTTAAAAAAAATAGAAATAAGTAAAATATATTATATATATTATATAAGATATTCTTTTTTATATATTTTTTTACTAATTATATATATATTATACTAAGGATTTTCTAATATATAATAATAAAGAATTCTTTCTTAATTTATAAGTACTTTATTTACTAGAAGAAATATATTTTAAAGTAGCTAGGTTTATATATTTTAAGAGCCTTATATAAATCTTATATTATTCCGAAAAAAGGCAAGCTTGGATTTTCTTTTCTTAATTATTTAATAATAAAATTATAAAACCTATTAAAATATAATTAGTAAATATTTATATTAAATAATCTTTTATAAAATAAGAGATTTACTTCTTTTATTTTTCTAATTTTACTTCTATTATAGCTTTAGTTTTATTATAAGAATTAAATAATATAATTTCTTTTTCTTTAAACTCTTATATTATTTACTTAATATCTATAGCTTTAGTATTAGTATTAGGTTTAGAAACAGACTTATTATTAGATAGAGAATTATAGCTAGAATCTTTAGTAAAGTCAGAATTAGAACTAAAGTTACTATTATAAGTATAGTTTAATTTCCATATCCGGTTTTTTCTTTTTAACTTTATTTATAATTTATATATTTGAGATTATTTCTTTCTATTTAGTAAAGTTAGGGAAGCTTTATCTCGGCTATAATAAAGGGTTTAATACTAAATAAAATATCGGGAAAAACAAGCTATATTATTACTAGATAAATAGCTTTATAAGAAGAGATATAAATACTACTTTATAAGAAGTAACTATAAATCTTATAGATATAGCTATTATAATACTATACTAGCTCAGTAATATATAGGCTAATTAAACTTATAAGTACTGGAAAGTAATAAGAGAATTGAGTATAAAGAAGAGCGAAAAATAAATAATTAAGGGTAATAGTAAAAAGTAAATAGTTTAGTAGTACGAGAGATAAAGAAGTAATAGAGTAAAGTAATAAATAAATAAGTAGGTCTAGGAGGTATAAAGAATAAAGTAAAGAATAAAGAATAAATTTGAAAGTCGAGGATAAAGTAGTAGGAATATATATATCTTATAATACAAGAGCAGGAAGTTTAAATAGGTAATATAATCTATTTTCTACTTGAAAACTTTTCCTTAAGAGAGAGCCTGCGGTTTTCAGGAGAGTTAATGAGTTCTGCTATTTCTAGAGGTGAGAATAAAGTTAGAAGAATAATACTCTCTATTTAAAATAGTAATAAGAGATACTTGCTAAATTTTTAGTAGCCTTAGATTAAGTACTTAAGCAAGTAGAGAGGTAATATAAAATAGTAGGTAAATACTTACTAAAAATAGTAATTAAATTACTAATATCTAGAAAATAATAGTTTATATTTATAGAACTATTTTAGATATTTTTTATAGGCTATATTTCTTATTTATTAATAAGAGATATTATTTTAAAGTTTAGAAACAGGTTATTAGCTTTATTTTAAAAAAATTAGAAAAACTAAACTATTTTTTACCTAAAATATATTAAATTATTTCTTTATTTAATTATTTAAAAAAGATTTCTAAAAGAATATTAGCTAAAAGACTTAGTTATTTAGCCGAAACTAGTAATTTATTATACTTCTCCTAAATAGGAAAAAGGCTATATAAGTTAGCTATTAATATTACTTTATTATTATAAAATAAAATAGAAACTAATAAGTTTTATAAGCTAAAAACTAGTATTTTTTTTCTAGATATTAAAGGTGCCTTTAATTATATATTTAAGAATAGACTATTATAGATTATAATTAGTTTATTACTATTTACTAGCTTTATTTTCTAGATATTATTATTTTTAAATAACCGGGTATTATAACTAGCTTTTAATAATAATATTAAAATATTTAAATCTATATTTACTAGTATTTTATAAAATAGTTCTATATTATTTATATTATTTCTGATTTATATCTGAAATCTATTTAAATTAATAAATATTAGTTTTAAGTTTTATTTAAATAATATAATTCTTATTATTACTTTTAAAAGTCTTAAAAAAATATAAAGACTTTAGAATAAGAAATAAAAAATATAATTAATCTAGGAAATAAAAATACTATTAGCTTTAATATAAATAAAACTAAGCTTATTTATTTTAATAATTTCAAAAACAAATCTAGCTTAAAATTATTTAATAAAGAACTAATTTCTTTTAGTAAAATAATTAAATAAATAGAAATATATTTTAATAAAAATCTCAGATTTAAGTAATATATAGCTTATAAGGCTTCTAAAATAAAACAAGTCTTTTATAAAATATAGAAACTTATAAATATATTATATAATTTATTTTTATTTATAATTAAATAATTATATTTAGCTTATATTACTAATATAATAAACTATAATTCCTTATTATAATAAAAGACTTAAAATAAAGCTTAAATTCGGCTCTTATAAGCTATATAGAACCTAGCCCTAAAAAAAACCTTAAAACTATTTAAAACTATTTTTATTATTTCTATAAAAGTCAAATTAGCTTTAATTATATTTATTATAAGACTAAATGATAATAATTATTAATATATCTATTATATTCTTAAACTAAATCTAAAATATCTAGTTAAATTACCTTAATAAATAAATAGAAAAAACGCTTTCTATAAAATTCTACTAGTTATAATTCTTATATATAAGATTTTATACTAGTTTTAATTCTTATACTAATATACCTATATATACTAGAATTAATTTAGAGATTTTTTAGTTATAATTATAATTTAGGTAATAAGCCTCTAAAAAGCCTAGAGCTTATTATTACTAGAATTAATTAAATATATAATAAATTATAATTATAATTATATATAATTAATTAATATATATTTATAATATATAATAAGCTATTTAATAATATATTAATAAGTAAAAAGATATAATAAAGTTATAATAATATATAATATTTAAATAATTTATTTATTATATCTTAATAAGCTTTTACTAAAACTTATATATTAAAATAATAGCTTATTATAATTATATTAATTCCTATTATAATTTTATAAATAATTAATATATATTCGGCTTAAGCTATATTATAATTATAAATATTTTATTATTTATATTAGCTTCTTTATTATAAGAAATATAAAAGCTTATTATATTAGTATTATAACTTAGTAATATAATAAAGGTATTATAACTTAGTAAACTAGATATTATATATTAGAGATATAATTATAAGTATATAATTATTTTAGTAAGTAATTCTATAAGAATCTTAATTACTAAATAATTATTTA